TCCCCTATGTGTAATACTTTGGAATTTTTTTATTGTGTTATAGCTACCAGATCCACGACCTAACCTATGAGCTGTAATAATGAAAATACCCCTGCCAAAGGCTATACAGTACTGTATCTTTCTTTGAGTCATTTACTGCAGTTTATTTTCTTCCTGAAATTGATGTAATGTCTCAAGCTGGTAAGAAACTATCTGAACCTTCACTTTCATTCCTTTTCCAACTGTTTCATTAACCACAGAAAAACAAATACCCATACGGATTGCAGAAGTCCTCTAGGCTATTTGCCTATTGTTTTCATAATCTCAAAGGTTAAAACATCCTGCAATGCAACAGAGGTGAATGTGTGGGGGAAATGAAAGATTCTTAATATACCTAAAAAGCTGGAAGTGTTGTACTTTTTTCATCTGGGGAGAACAAATTTTGAAAGCTAGTATTATGAACAGATTTTACACCAAGCTTTTAAGGCCAGCCAGGCAATGTGCTACAGCATCTGCCTCAATTTACCAGTCCTTCCGCAATACAAGCTGGCTGCAGAATGACCCTTGGACTTTCTAGTAATGCTGAAGAAAACCCTCTCTGTCCAGAGCCTACCACACTGGCAACATCCTCTGTTGGGATGTGGCCTGCAGAGGGGCAGTGCTGCGCAGCACAGCTTGAGTAGCTGACCATGACAGGCTGTAGCTCAATGGCCTGTTGTCTCCCCAGCTGACTTTTATGAGAAGAGGAAAAGGCTCAGCGGGAGAAAACAGACAAATGAGAGGTCAAATATTTACAGCAGAGCTGTAAGACAAGAGGTTTGAAATCCCAGTGCAAATGGTAACACGGTGGCAGGGAAAACAAAACACGGCGTAAAGTACAAATACACAGTAATTCTCTATAGATTGACATGCAACACATTACCAAATGGCATAATTTACCATGTTTATAATTCACGGACTGCACAAGTTACAGTTTCCACCATGTTAGACTTTGCATCCAGTTACAGAAATAGGCTTTAAAATTTGCAGGGATCTAGATTTCAGGTCACCATACAGGCTCTTGCCAAGAACTTGGTATACGATTTCAAAAAGAAATTAATCACAGATTTATGAATGCTTTCTTCCAAATGAAAAAAACCCTAATAATTAAGATTTGTATGCCTGTAAACATTTCTAGGTAAGAGGTGAAATTAGTCTTTAGTTTTAGTTCACAGAAATTTACGGGTAGATATATGATGCATTCTTTCTTCTTGTTGTTGTTGTCACCATACAAAATGTCAATCACATTGAATATTAACATGAATAAAGCTATAATTCTCTCCCCCAGAAGAGTAAACAAAAAGTCCTCTGCTGGTTTTCAAACCAAAAAAACAAAACCAAATTCCTATCCAACAAATCAAAGATTGGACTTGGAAAAAAATAATAAAAGGATTAAAACTACTATACCCCCGAAGATATATTAAAAAATATTCTATAAAATAACTCTAATCTTTACAGTGATGATTACATCTTATGTCATAAAATCTGTACCTAAATCTAGGACCTTCTGCCAGGCTAAGTGTGAATCTTCCTCAGACAAATGTTACCCAGGAAATCCCTTCTTCTCTTCTCTCCACATCAGAAGGTGTCAAGATGATTTGTGTCACCTCTATGAAAGTGAAGATAAACTTTCCTTACCATTGCAGGCTGAACTGTGTCTGACACACTTTGAAGTGACTTTGACTCATCTGTATTCTGTGCTCATTCTTGAAGTTGAAAGAAAAAACCAAAGTGTAATCATTAGCAGTTCTGCTTCATTAGCAACACTTCAGAAATTTAAACTGACCTCTTAGACAAAAATTGTTCCTTATAAAGGACAGCAAGATACCTTCTTTTTAACAGTTCGGTCAGGGCTTGTACAGTTTTCAGATGGTTCTTATATTCTAAATATTAAAAAAAAACCTACAGAGAATGTAGTCTGATAACTTATTTCTTTAAGAGGTGACATTTTGTCTGAAATTCATAGTTAGGGAACAAAATTCACATTTTCTAAGCAATGATGAAGTTGATTCAATTGAAGTAAAATTCACCCAGGTGCCAGCTCTCCTTTGGGGAAAAATATTTAAACGGTCTTTATGTGAATTACAAATTATTTTTTTAGGTTTATTATGTTATGTAGTGTTGATTTCCAAATAGATAGTTTACCAAAATGGAATGGAAGATTATTAAAGAACCAAGACACTGCAAAACGGGATTAGAATATAATCATTTAAAAATAATCATGGGTAGCATTTGCAAGTTTTCATAGTGCTTGGCTAAAAATACCTGATACATACTTACAGCCCATTGTTTCAGGTAAAACACTCAGCACTTACAGAGCAAAAATGTAAATTTTGTTATTCAAAGAGATAAGTGTTGAAATACACATATCCACAACTTCCCCAGCCAAAACCAACACAGCAGTTTGCCACCTTCTAATTCTATCTTCAACCTCTGCTTTTTACTGTCTGAAATTATTGCTTCGTAGAACTCATTATTTTGTAATTCACTTTTAAAGGAAATATAATGTTCTGTCTTTGCATAACTGTGGCTATGTCTCTACCAGCAAATTAACTGAATCAAGAGTTCAAATTTAAATCCTCTGACTTGATCATCTATTGATAGAAGAGTTCTGGCAGACTTTTAAATTAAACAAATTTCATACTCCCAAAGAAATTCTATGCAAGATTCAGGAATAAGTACATGCAAGGGACCGTTCCACATAATTATTTTGCCTGCCACCACTCTCTTTTGGAGGCTAACAGAGTTTAATTGTAGGGCTACAGACCACTGCATGCCAGCTGGCCTTGCTGCCAGAGACTAGGTTTCAGCCTGTTTAGTTTATTGGTTATAGTAGCAAACTTGTGAGACTATATTGGTGAAAAGATTAATACTGTCATGTAAATTAAAGCTTTCCTGGCTGAGGATAAAAAAGGACATACAAAAATACCTTTATTCAAAACTCACTTTCTTTTCAGTGGGTTGGTGACAGACTGAATCTTGTCAAAACCTTACAAAAAGTCTTGCTGAAATTAATGTATCTCTACTGTTTGCCCTGAGAGAAAAAAAAATATTTTAAATAAACAAGGAAATCTGAAAAGCTATTAAAAAAAAGGTCTGTGCAGTTCAGAACTGTAACTTTTTAACAAAGTCTTGATTTTTAAACCCAATGGCTGAATTAGCAGAAGTCTTCTGAAAGTAAAAATGTTCCCTTCACATCTGTTGTTTACAGTGACAGATCCAAACCTAAATCTGCAAGAAGCTCGGAAAAAATTCATAGTACACGTGTGGGTGGATGCCTTGAAAGCACGTTTTTTCACATGGTGCGTTCCACCAAAAAGTGCCCCATAGTGCCCGAGATTTTGCCAGGAGCAGGGCAGACTGTGCAGGTCGCTGCAGAAGTTGCCTATGCTCTGTGCTGTCATTCAGACAGACATACAGCTGTTAATCATAGAACTATAGAATGGGTTGGGTTGGAAGGGCATCTGATTCAAACTCCATGAACAGAGCAGAAGCGTTTTCAACTAGATTGTGTTGCTCAGAGCCCATCCAGACCAACCTTGAATATTTTCATGGATGGAGCATCTCAATTCCCTGTCTTGAAAGAGGGATTGATTATAGCAGTACGTGTATGCAGCTTTCTTCCACTCAGACATAGAAAGTGACCTTTATTACCTGGATAGAATCCATTTTATGCTGCTCAGAACCTTCACTTGCTTTGAACAAAAACAGTCAATAAGTAACAAAGTAGTGAAGTATTGGCTGCTTCTGCAACCACCCAGTATCAACAACATTATTTCCCATACTCATACTGAGAAAATTTTGCAGCCTAAAAGTCTCATACAATGATTTCTGCAATTAATTAGAAGGGCATTCCAGCACTCAGCTATGTATTTTTCTACATGTATATATTTTTATACACACACACACACACACACACACATCTATATAGCTTTTCATGCACATATTCTGTATGTACCGTATATACACATCCTATACGTTTACCATGGAGATAAAGTACATGTGTAATGCCTAATTAATGCATGGTATCAATGCACAATTATATATGTATATATGTGCACTAACTGGCATGTAATTAGGTGTGATACTGGTGCTCACAGGTTCAAGAAAACATATGTATACAAGGAAGTTAGTACTTCTAAATGGATATTTTCCAGAAATAAGTGAACAGAATGTGAAAAGATAAAAAAAGTGCAGCTGCAGTCATGCAAGCTCATTTTGAAATTATAAACCAATTACTAAAAAGTAGGAACTGTGTATTATTTGTCCATAAAATTTACCAGCATCTTCATCTCTTACTTGATGTAGTCTAGCTACACACTTGTAAGCCTATTTCCCTGTATNGGTGATGTAAAGGCACTTTGTCAGGTCTGGTTTGTCCCCCAGTTCAGATTACATTCAAGAGTCGACCACACATTTAAGAAAAAAATCCCAAATAAAAATATCCTGACATAATATAACATATGTTATTACATATATGTTACCTGTATGAAGTTTACAGGTTGTGTGGATGACAGCAAAATTTAGCTTTATAAAATAAAATAATTTATCTCCACAAAAAAATTATATGAAAAACTATGGGTTTCATTATGAATTTAGGTTGTTAATGTACTGAAAGCAATAATTTTGCTATTTGTTTTAAACTTCATTGGTTTTACAATTTGAATTTTATGGAAGAGTAATTTCTTACACAGGTAATGTAGAGACACAGAAGTGAAAAGTGTTAGCAATATAAACAAACTAAATAAGCCACAATTAGGTTTAAATTCCTCTCACACTCAAGGGATTATGAAATAACACGTGAGACCTAAACTCACTAAATGAAAATAAATAATTTAATAAGTCTTGGTTAACTTTCTAACAAACTTTAACATTGGAAAGAATAATACGCCATGCTTAAACGGGCTGATTAATGATTGATGCTGTAACATTTTAAACCTGACTGATTGATGTACAAGTGTTTAACAGCCTTTGTCGTGATTTATTCCTCTGCCAGGGCTGGAAAAAAGTGTAATTTAACAAGTTTCTTAGAGAACCAGAATGCAGCTCAGAAGAGTTTTTTAAGATTGGATTAAATATATTTTCTTCATATGCACACATATACATCTATGACACTTAAAGAACATTTATAAAAAATAGTCTTTAATCAACTGAAAGATGTTTAGCTCAGTTAACATGCTGGATCTTTCATATATTTTTGTTTGGATCAATTAAAAAATATTATGTTACTTCAAGAAGCCAAAACAGAACTCAGGAGAGAAATACTGCAACTAATATCAGCACGATCTGGATAAAGCATTCATTCTTCCTGGAAAGAAAAATGGAGGTGATTATTAGAAAACTTTTTTGCTAACTAACATGCAAAAAATAACTTTTATTGCAGTCTTTTCAACAGTGGTTGCCTGCAGAAGAAATACACAATTCCTAATCCTAAATCTTCTCTTGCTCACTTTTCAAAATTTCCAATCTTCAAGGTGACTCATTATTTTATCTTAAAATCTAAGCTATCAGTTTCATATTTGAGACTTTTCATATGTTATAAAATGTGGCTTTTACTTTTTCATTCAAAAATCTCATTAAGTAAGAGTTTGAAATGTCTTGCTATTTCTAAGGTAGTATCTGTTACTTTAATGCTGGAAATTGAGATAAAATTGGAAATTTAAACATTGAAGACATTTAAAATATTTTACTGCAAATTCCAGAAGAAATTACCTGGGATACCATATAATTTTATTTCATACATAGTCATCCTAGAGGGAATGAAGAACATTTATTGGAATTGTAGAAAAGATATTATGAAAACTAGTACTTTTAGCAATGTTTTCAAAATTATTCTTTATATTCCTATTTGACTTTGAATATTTAGAGCATTATTGACATTGTTATAGCTTTATATAGCTCTTTGTCTGTGTGTAAAAAAATTATCATAAGATACATATATAATACATAACACATTTTATTAAATGTAAAGTTGAGATTGATTATATGCCATACTCTACCTGTAGGTAGTCATAAATATGCAAGTGTATTGATTATATACATTAGAAACTGAAATTATATCATTGGATTTCATATAATTTTTATCATTATTCAATATATTTTAGGTACTTATATATCATAATTTTTCATACATTTTGTGTGTTTTCAAAAGAGATTAGAAGAACTACATTTAACTTGTCCATGTAAAAAAATTTTTTTCCTTCAGACAGTATGTACAAAAGTACAGGCATTAGGCAGAAAGAACAAAACACCACCAAAAAACCCATCGTGAGAAACCCTGAACAAAGAGTTTTAGAAAGTGCTGCGCACCAACAACCAGAACAACAATTTGGTATGTCTTTTTCTGGAATGCTGAAAATAGCTTTCTGATAGTTCTGAACCCCAGTATTCAAAGCCTGAAAATGACCACCTGTGAAAAGGATGGATTTGAAAACTGTGGGCTGATACTCCTATATTAACTAGTATATTTACAGCTCAGAGCAGGATAATAAGGAAAATGTATCTAGCGCAGAACTTCTGAAAGGTGTTCAGTGGTTTGGTGCAGCCTCAAACAAGAAGTTTTAGAAGAGTGACAATCAAGAAACCAGTGAAGCACAGTAAGACATCTTTCTATATCATATCTGTATGTTATGTCTTAACCATATCAAGTTTTATTTCTAGTAAGTATTTATAATATGATGATCATTTGGGGGGTGGAAGGGGAAGGAGTGTCTATAAGTTGCAGAGCTAAGTATATCAAACATTTATTTAGTGACATAGTACAGTGTGTTTGAATCTTTAAGGTTTCTGGTTCCATTTTAAGTCTAGATTCTAGGATTCAGAACAGTAAAGATACTGTTATACTTCGTATAATTTAGGAATTGGCTCAGAGCTTGAACTCTGGGGGGAAAGGGTAAAAAATTAGTGAAGTGCCAAAGCAGTGGCTGAAATAGCCTGCTCATGGCTCTTGATCTGTATTTTATACTATATGTATTAACACCTTATTCTCTTGAGTGTGAATAAGTATATTCCTGCTATCAGATCAGCTAAGAAATGTGTCTGTTTACCCTGACTTGAAGATAATCAATATGAGACAATCATTAAGAAGAACTGAAATAGAGGCTACGGTCAGATGTTACAGTAAATCCAAATTTACTGGACCACATCAAAAGTGCTGAGGTCACATGGGAAAAGTAGTCCAGTGGGTCAAATTTGTCTAAGAAATGTGTGATAACAATTTTGAATAGACAGATTTTCTTGCATTAACGTATTCTGCAGTATGTATCTTTTTCCTGTCTCGTTTGTTCCTCTTCCATTTTCTAAGGCTAGGACCTGCAAGCAGATGCTGGCTCACACCATGTCCCTTGTTGCCAGAACCACTTCTCATAGTCAGGCCCTTTTTTACCCACTTTTCAAAAGGACTTAGGGAATAAATCCTTTTATTTTTATTCCAGACTCTCTGTCTCTTGACCATCCTGACAGCAAAGAGCTTTATTCACTCCCACCAAATGGCAAGCAGAATTACACCTCAGACGTGAACTGATCCTGTAGAGTAATATTGGCTATTTCACTCTGTTTTTTCAGCAATTGAAATGGTTGAGACACTGAGTGAAGCTGAATTGAATCTGATGAGCTTTTTAGCCTATGCTGAATTATTTGCTTCCTTTGTTATGATTAATAATAAGGGAGCGATAGTCTAAAAATTATCTCGGGCATGCGATCCCCAGCCTTTTAACACAGGAGCGATTAGTCAGTAAATTACTCTTAAACCCAACTATTTGTGGAATGACAACTGAGAAAATAATTCAAGAACTGGAAACATATTTCTGAATTATCTAACTTAAAAACAGACCCTAGATTTCTTCAAAATCTTGTTTGAAGTTTCCTTTCATGAAAACTCTTTTGTGAGAAGTAGTTAAAGGGAGCTTTTAACAACTTCAACACAGAACTAAAGCTTTACGGCAATTTCATAATTTACTGAATTGTCAGTGAAAAAGTCTACCAACCCAGCAAGAAGTAGCTATAGAGCTGTACTGTTTAACTGTGAGAGCTGTAAATGAAGCATAATTTATACATGTTTTTAAAAATTCTATGAGAAGAGCCAGAGGTTATTTGGCAAAGCTTCCGATGAGCTTGTTTTATGTTAAGAGCTGCCAGATTAGCAACCATTAATACAATAATTGATGTGCTACATCCTTAGAATGTGCAAAACAATATTTTATTTCCAAATGTTCCTATAATTTTCTTATTTCCTTTGGTATTGACCTTTGGTATGAATCTTCATATTTCATATCAAAATTAATCTGTACTCCACATAATTCTGATTAAACCACTTATATTTTGATCTCTCCCTTACCTACTTCTCTCTTACTAATCTTTTTTTTAGACCTGGCTTCCTCAGTCCCTTTTTACAGAAAGGTCCATTAGAAATCTAATACAGAGACTGATGGTGAAGGCTGTGAGCACGGCTTTAAAGTCTAAACACCTCATCACTTCAATAATGTGGTTAGCCTTTGAAGCTTTATTAGGCCTGAGACAGTGTCTGATCACTTTCGCAGTTTTCCCACTTGGCAGCCATTGACTGTTAACACATAATTGAAACAGTTACTTAAGAAACTTGTATTTTATTGGTTTAAACACTTTTCAACATACTAGGAGCTAGAGTAGGATTATAGATTAAAGTACCTCAGCTATTTTTTACTGAATATTTTGTCTCCATTTGATGAATTATTCCTCAATAATAAGTTGGAGCAACATCACCTAATTTTTTAAGTATTTAAATGACAGACAAGAAAAAGTATTTGAATAACAAAAGGTTAATTTGGTTCTACCAGAGAGTAAAAAAGAAGTATTTAAAATGGAACATCTCAGCTGTGTAATGGCCACCTGTTAGCCATATATTAAGATGGATGGCACAGACACCAAATATTTAACCATCTCTTAAAGCTTCTTAGACAATTTTACTCTTTTCAGCATTGAAAATACTGTGATTTAAATGAGGAAAAGAAGTTCAATATTAAAGAATTCCAAGAAGAAAACAATATTAAATGATAACCACAAAAAATATACTGGACCCGAAATTTTTCAATTACTTTCACCTTGTACACCCTAAGAGTCAAAATAGAAAGTCTCCATTGGTGTCATTCATCATAATTGCAGTGGAGCTGGTGGATTTATGCCCACTGGCTTTAGGCTCTGGATCCATACCGTATAGTTTTCGTTCCATCTGTCTTCATCCTCGCACCCCAGTCTTCCCAATTCTTCCTCTTTCACATATTCCTGCATAGAATAAAAAGCAGTGGAAAACTTCCACTACACATGATGGACCAAATTCCTCAGACATTAGCACCTGAATAATTATTGATATTCAGAGAAACTAAATATAGGATCAGGACAACATATTCTGGAAAAACATTTTCAAGCACCTGTGTTTTCCATCCCCTTTATTTTCCTGAAGAGACTGAACCTCATTTCTCTGTGGTCACCTACAACCTTAAAGAGCATCTACTGCCTGTCTTTAATGAAATGAACATTCAAGATCAGAAGCTAGTTGAAAGACTCTATATGCAACACCACAGTGGTAGGAAACCAAACAACAATAATGGAATAAAAAATAATGTGCAAGACGCTTCTTCTAATGAATATTTCACACAATATTTTTTTTTCAGATTCAAAGCTTCAGTATTCTTTTTGCTAATGGCAATTTAAACATTATAAAACTATCAGTATTCTCAAATAGAGGTTTTTCCTCACTTCTGGACTTTTTCTCAAAAAAAAAAAAAGTGCTTCAGAAAAACACACGTATTTTCCCACACTGGAAAATAACCAATAAGCCAGCTGCAACTGATATTGCAATATTGCGGGATATAGAACTGAAGAATACAATTCTTCTTTCATTCCCTTGCCTAATCCAACATGTAGAACTTTTGTGATGCAAACATAAATCAAATAGCATCTGCCAAAGCAAGAGGATGTGTGAAAATATATCCACTGTTAATAGCATTAGATTAGGTGTAACATCACAGGAGCCTTAAAGGGCAGCTTAAATTTATATGTTCCACAATAATGAAGATAAAGTGCTGTTAACATTCAAATCACTTTCTAAAACTGGAAGTGAAGAAGAACTCACATCCATATATCATGGTCAATAATCCAAAACAAGTCCTTTTTGTCTTACCATAGTTTATTGTGTAGATATTATGGTCTATAAATAATGCGACAGGAGTAAAAATAATCAATGAAATGGAGATGACTAACAGAACCTACAATTTGCAGACAGTATAAATGCTTAGTGAAAAGCACAGAACTTAAAATGGCTTCACTACAGACAATGGAAATGGTATATCTCTCAGAATTTGTGTAAAAAATGTTTTGTTATTTCTTTAAAACTCTTAAACATTCCTAAGACAGTAATAGCCCTCTCAAAATGTTAATTGAAAGTGTGGTATGGCTCATTCCCCACGTCAAAATATTCAATAAGATGGGTGAAAAACTGGAAAGCAAGCAAATTATTTTCTTCTTTAGTGCTTTACTCATGATAGTACACTGATGAGTCTTATTTCTTCCAAAGTGAAAGCTGATTTCTTCCCTTTCTAGGGAGGTAAGCAGGGATATTCAATGTTGCTCAAGAAAATACCAAACTTCTAGGATATGGATTGCCTTAAGTTCATCTTATATCATCAATATATTAGACATGATAAAATTAATCCTATCATTGGCATATAATTCTATTTTGAAAGGTAAGTCAAGCTTCAGCATTGAACATATTGTACTGCTCAAAACTACTCAGAGAAATCTTGTAGGCCAAGGGTTGTGTAAGGATAACAGCCTATCAATTTCCCATGGATACTCATAACGCATGAAGACCCAAAGGTCGATGGGTCATGAGAAAAAAAGAGTTACCAACCTGAAGACTACGGCTGCTAAATCTGTGAACAAGTTCCCAAGAACAGCCGTGGTGCATGAGCGGCCGGAGGTCATGAGGGCATGAGAATTTGGGGGATTCCTGCCCAGCAAAGTCCACCCCTAGAGCCCACCAACTTCATTCTAACCAAGGTTCATGTAACCACATGTTACAACTACATTAGCTCTTCAGCAACATCGGGATGTTAACGAAGTCTCAACATATCAGTATTGCCTAGAAACGCCACTTCTTGAAAATAGGATGTGGTTATCATGGAAGCATACTTCTCTTAAACAGACCATATAATTTCTCACAATTTATGTAAAACATTTTTCAGAGCAAATGCATGTAATATAAGTTTCAGAATGCATAAGCTCTGAACGCATCATAAAACAATCCAAGGGTTTCTTATCTTTGCAAGAAAAGATAAACGTCCAAAACCAAAACTCTCTCATAAAGAAGATGATGTTTATTCTCCCCATAGTAATTTGCTTCATCATTTGCTCCTATAGAAAGTATATCTAAAATACATGGTAATATTACCAAGAGTTAAAGATTAATTTGTAAAATTCAGAAAAGAACTCGAGTTAGAAAGATGAAGTTGCTGTGAGATAGATAGGTAGACAGACAGATAGGCAGATAGACAGACAGATAGATATACACATACACATATATATATATAAATATATATATATATATACACACATTCATATACTTATTCTTAGCTCAGGACAAAAAGATACCACATAGTATGTCACAGGAACCTCTAAGATATAGACAATATGAGTAAATAAGCAAAAAAAAATTATTTCTGAGAATATGTCAGAGTGAATGTACTGTGAAGTGTACAGGTGTATAACTAACTTGGATGTCATGTAAAATGGAAGGATTCGAAATATAAGAACTTAATTTGAAGGCAAGAGCTTTTGGCATTATGAAAATGGTATCAAGGAAGAAAGCATTCCTTTTAGTAAGGAGAATGTAACAGAGGCCATTTGTATATTAAATAGAGGTCATATGGATGAGTTCTGTTTACCTATTAAAAAAACCTAACACTGCAGCATTACTTAAATTTTGTATTTGTCTCTGGTTTGGTGGTGGTGAGAAAAAACCCTCATATTAAATCACAGGTACCAGATGCAGCTTTTATTTATCAACATTGTTTACGCTGAGCTGAAATAGTGGCAAGGATATGTCCATGAGTTTAAAATGACAAAAAATCTTGTAATGTGACAACCAATTAAAGAGTCAATGTCACTTGAATACAGAAGTTTTAAGTCCTTAATATATTTCAGATCCTTTACTGTTTCACTTGGTTCAATAGCAAAGCTTGTAAAGGCCTAAGTGTCCATAAGAAACTAGGATCTCTGGAATTCCATAGTATCTTTTATTTTGTAAAAATAATCTCAGAAAATAAATACCCTTACAGTTTATATACGTTCTAAATTAAATCAGCCATATTCTAACTAGAAATTGCTTTCTCTGCTGTCGGGTACGTATGCGTTCAATATTAATGAAAAATATTAATTAAGTTGTTAGTCTGAAAAGTCTCTCTTTAGAAAGTTGGACAAAGCAATAAAACTAACACTTCTCTAAATTAATTGTGGTGTGAGAAACATTTTTAAAACATGAATTAGAAGATTAAAAAATAAGGATTTTTCCCCTTCATTTCAACCTTAAGTAATGCAACTAATTTTTTTATTTTCATAACTTTATGCTCAAGAAATGCTATTTATGATTTTGGATTACCAAAATGTCTGTTTCTAGCAATCAGTAGGTTTACCTCCTTTCTGAAGAGAAAGTCTTCCTGAAAATTAGAACTGAAAGGTGACACCATCCACGCAAATGTGTGATTGTTGATCATCCTGTTCTTCTGAATACTCTAACCCATAACCACAAACTGACTGCATTCTTCTGTGTCTGTCCCTCACCATCCGAGGAAATAGTTTCAGTTTTAATATATAAGATCAAGTAATAGACAGGCTAACTTATTCATAATATGCCTGTCACAACCCAGCTCTTTACTTACGAACATTGTCACCAGTTGATAGTACATAAATTCTTAGCATACAAGACAAATACCACGTAATTGTTACAGTTTTGTAAGGTTTAAGAATGTCTTTTGGAAATGTGATCACAATTTAGTACTCCATGAGGAAAAGGCTCTTAAGGCCAATAAGGGGCTATATATTCCAGGAACAAGAGAAATCTCATTTTTCTCCTGTGAGGTATCTAGTAATATTTTTTAAAGGAAGGACTATATGTCTCATGTTAAAATATAAACTCTCCTTGCAATATACACTTTAACTTTCCAGTCACAAGGTACTTTTTCTTCTCTGGTAGAATGGAGGAATCACTACTACCTTGAAAAGTGATTCACCAAACACAACCTTTTAGATTTCCTGGTACTTGGACCTCTACTTGACCAGTACCCCTTTGAAACATTTCTGCAACTCTGTACCATGGTAGTAGCTCTTTCTTCAGGGAATGTGCCATCCGAGAGAAAGGATCCCTCTTTATGTACACTAAGGAATGGGTTAAATGAAAGAGAGGCTTGCTTTTTTTTTTTTAATAAATATATAATAAAAAAGGGATACTCTATTTATTCTCCCCTTGAATGAGAGAGAATTTGATGAACTGAAGGGCTTAGCTGCCTAGAGATGAATAGTCAGAGCTATGCAGTCTGGGATTGTCTTCTATTGTGATCTAAGATGCCAGGGGCTGGCTTTCCAGGAATGTCTATACTTGCCTCTCTCATCAACACCAAACTACAAAATAATGGCTTTCACCAAGAAAGTTGTAACAACTCCGTACCCAAGAGTCTCTTGAATGATTCACTTCCTTGATTCCACCCTAGTTTAAAGACTAGGATGAAGAAAGAATTTCTCTATTTCTCATGATCTGACATGTCCTAACTCTGTCAAGCCCTTGGTAGTTCTCACCTTTCCTCATGCCACGTCACAGAATCGCAGAATGACAGAATCGCAGAATGACAGAATCACAGAATTGGTAAGGTTGGAATGGAATACAGTGGATCAGATGCTCCAACATCCCCGCACAAGCAGGGTCAACTTAGAGCACATTGCACAGAATTGCATCTAGACAGTTCTTCAAGAGACTTCACAACCTCTCTGAGCAACCAGTTGCAGTGTTTGGTCATCTGCACAATCCTCTGACTTCATCACATCCTGAAGACCTGTGCTATTGAGGGCTTACAAAAAGAAAATGAAAATTTCAGCAGAAAGTTCATGGGTGTTTTAAATGTTCTTTTCATTTATGTTCTTTCTTTTTAGCCAAGTTACTAGGCTGTTTTATTACACTAAATGAAGATAGAGATATTCTTTTTGCTTCCACCACCACCTAGTGCAATGCAGTG